TTCCTTTTTTAGGCCACATTTGCATGCATAACAAATAATCTTCGAATAATTTTCTTCAAATTTATTCATTGAAATATTTGATACTACAAACAGTGCCGTAGCAAAGTCTACAAAGTGCAAAGTGTTAAGTAATCATCGAGTTACGACAGTGAAATAAAGTTTATTTAAGGAAATACTTCGTTTCGTGTTGATTAAATAAATTCATATGTCACATTTCTAGCACTGAATAAAGCTGTGCCCGTTGAACATTCGTATGTATTACGGTCCGATCGGATCGACTTTTATACGTTGACGATCTCATCAGTATGCGGCCGTACAAGCGGTGCTGAAAAATCGTGGCTCGTCGACGTGTATGTGAACGGCGCTTGAAGAACTTCGTCGTTCCTCGGGTATCTATGATGAACGATCCTCGCCAGCGTATCGTCTAGTGCCAAGAGCTGCAAAAAATTACCATTACACTGAATATAATCAATGCGCCCATAGGCGGTGGCGCAGTTGCACAAACCGCGAAATATTATGCATGCACTGGAAGAAATCGCGTCTTTGACGATAAACACATTAAATATATGTAACAGCGAAACATTCAGATAAAAGATTCTTATGATCTTTGGAATTACTAAATTTAGAAGTGATCATGATAAAATCGGTTAGCAAAAAATGAAATAGTCGAGTTGAACATGAAAGATTGAAATATGAAATTCTGATGATCCCTGGGATGTAAGTTAACAAATATTATTTATTAATATGTACTTATTGAACTGAAAAGTTCGTTAATACTTAGAAACATTGTCAACAAGTATTGTCATAGGCGATTTATCATGAAAAATATCTTTCTTTTCTGTTTTTCTTTCAGTATTTTTTATACCAATTTGTTCGGGAGTATTTTTAATTCCAAAATCTAAACTACGCAAGAAGAAAATAAATTTTTGAATGATTTCTTTTTTACGTAATGATGTTAAAAATTGGGATGACTAAATAAAATGTTTTAAATTTCTTCAGATATTGTGACAGATTTAACGTCCAGAGAATTCAAAAGATTCTATTACAAAATACTTTCTGAAACACGTCGAATTTCTTTCTTCCTACTTTAAGAATTTAGATACGTTGAGATACGCCGTGGACGGACAACATCGCGTGCAGGGTTCATAACCCAAAGTTTGATTAGGCCGAGATGAAATTCGCGTGCGTCATACTTACGTAAAAAATTGTTGAACGATCTGAACGAAAAGAAGAATAAAAACATTGATACAGGATTATCAAAAGTGATTCAGAAGCAGACGCGGCACACCGGAAGTCACTGATTGTTCCGAAGGATGGTGACCTCTGTGTTCCTGTCTGCTGACGGTCACTCGCCTTTTTACCAATCAAGCCTACCAATCCCTCTGCTGACGTAAATTGGGCAGAAACTCGTGTTGCAATCGTTTGGTTGAGTTTTCATTCAGTCGAAATATTCGTCGATTCTCTATCGTCTTTCAATGTGTAAATATGTGCAGATATTAGAATAATTCGTGAATAAATTGCATTGTTTAATTATACAATTTAAATGAATATTTATAAATATACATGACAATGGTATGCGTAATACGTTGAGGAATCTTTATTACTTAATAATTATGTAGAGTATTTAATAAGTTTCTTACTTTACCAGCAATAATTAATATTCTTAATTACAGTATCTTATAATAAAGATTTGTATGCAAAAGTAAACGAAATAACTGTCAATCGGATGAGATACTGCCAACTGTATCGTTCATCAGAGAGATTTGCCGCTTCTGTATCTATTCATGCACAGTCTAATAAAAATAAAACATCAAAATAAAAATAAGAATTTATTACATCAAATACTAACGTAATAGCATTATAAATGAATGTGACAAAGTGAAAGAATTTTAGTAGAATATTGGAAGATTATGTTTTAATTCTTTAAATGAATATAAATCTATCTAAATTTTATATTATAGTTAAAACTAGCAAGTTACTTGTTCAATTAGATTTATCGTAGAAGGGAATATTAGACAAAATGTGTAATTTGAGGACTTAAAAAATTTTGTAACAAATTGAAAGAATTAACAAGTCGCGCTATTACCGATGATATGCGAGTATTATATCTACAGTTTTCATCATTATCGACCAACGTGTACTTCAAAAATTACATTCGTTCATCCCGATAATAAAATTTTATAATAATTTAAATAATTTCATTTGCATTCCGAGGAAACCGATTATTCAAATATTAATAATCTTTCTGGTTTTATGTATTTTAAAATGGAATGCGTTCTTATTGGAAATATCAATTTTATCAGGCGTCGATAAAAGGACACGGTTTATTTTAAATCTGTTTAAATAAATGGCAAGTTTAAATAGTCGGATATCTAAAGTACAATTGAAAATCGTTCATCTATTAAATACTTTCACCAAATTATTTATTTATAAAAATGAATAAAAATAATACTAATGAAACGAAGCTAATAAGCACTATTATAATCATAAATTTTAAGTATTTAATAGTACTTATTTGTAATATAGTTTTTATTATAAATAAACGTTATATGTGTATTTTGAAATGAATATTTCAATGAAACTGTTTTTCCATTCACTCGAAAATATTGTAATACATTAGAATTAAACAAAAATCGTGAAAAATTATTTTTATACGCATACATCAAACAAGTGAAGGTTTTTTTTCAGAAATTCAAAAGAAGAACAGCGTCGTCACCAAAATTATATAATAATGTTTGCATATAAAAGTAATTAATTAGAATAGTTTCTTTGCATAAATTTATCTCTCAATTCTTTCTAGTATTGGCTTTAGTCCTAACAAAACAGGATTAGAATAGTCCGGATTAGTATGTAACCTTATCGATGGAGAATGGGATTACATCGTTTATACCATCGACGAGATATAGGATAAACTAGCCATGCAATGCAATAAATTTTTCTTCCTCGACCGTGGGGTTACGTGACTCCCTAACAATTCCCGTGTCACTTACAACGTTACCATCAGAGTAAAAGTAAATACAAATAAATAAATAAAAAAATAGTGAAAATGAAACATTTAAAATATTTCAAAAAATAGAACAATACAACTTATTTGCTGACATATAACATAACTGTGACACTCATAGCACAAATTTTAACTTCAGTTCAGTGCAAAATGAACGAAAATGTTGAAGCACAAACGGTACAGAAAAAGAAAGAAAAAAATAATTATAAATACGTTACGCAAAGACTTACATCATTAAACATCGATATAAAAATACAATAAAGAAAAAAGTGTCTTCGTATTACTGTATTCTTAAATTTGAATCCCTTTTTTCATCAAAGAATTTCAATTAAATATGGTCCATGAGGAATTTGCATCATAATCATTTTTCGATTTCGAAATTATTTGACTTTGAACTTGCGACAGTCGATTACTTCTGAAACTGGTTGAAATGTCTTGGTTTGTGCTGGAACATGCTTGACTTCTAATCACATGCATCACAGAACCTTAATAACTAATCAAAGAAGTCCTGTTTCCATGAAAATGACAGACTGATTGCACAAGTACTTCCGCTGCAAACCGTTATCAACCATCAAACCCTACTGTTTCATCGAATAGACAATAATCTGACCTAACGGAATTTTCTTAAAAATCCTGGATTCATTTTTCACATTTATTTCTTCGCTTATGAAGTTAGTGTCTTAAAATAAAATTCTTAACGAATTAATATTCCCTGTCATATTTCTAATATTCTACTTTAAGTAATTTTGTTAATTTTAATGTAGAAGAAAAAACAAGGACATCACTTTTTTTTACTTCTTAGTTATGTTTTCTAAATATTTGAATGAAGTATGTTGTTAATGTTAGTAACAATTTTAAAAAATGGAAAGACTAATAATAATTATTATTATACAACAACATATTTACGTTATAATCTTTCACAAAATTAATTACCCCTTCGTGAGTAAAGCTTCCACCACATCTGAGAGATAGAAATCTGTTAAATACGTTTATGATGGAAACGGAAAGGACAAATCTGATAAGATAAAAATGACTGCAGTGAATGAACGCCGTGTGGGTTGTCGACAAAGATCAGCAATCTATTTCAAAATTACATATTTGTGTTGCCTGCGGTTGAACGTTATTTAAGAAAAGAAAAAAGAAAGAGAAGGAATAACAGATAAACACAAGAGTTCGATGCACCGATGCAGTCTGTTATTTCACAGATACTGGTGGTCGCAAAACTAACTCAACCATGTAACTAATTCTATTTTTTCGAAACTTGTCGCTGCTCTTAAATCGTTAAATGGTATTAAAAATTGATGTGTTATCGAAGTCATTTCTTATTATGAAAAAATGTGCAATGCCTATCCTAATTCACAAAAATAACAATTTAGTGATTAATTTAAAAAAGTACTTCCTTCGAAAACAAGTGAGACACTAACAAGTTAAAAATTAATAAACTCTTACGTTAATCCAAGTATATAGCGAATATACAAAATTTACATATTGTACTATGCTTATCAGTGCAATACTACACGAGCACCGCACATTTCTACCAATATTGTACACATAAATATAATTCAAATGTTATATGAAAGGTAAGTAAATACCTACTTACATACTAAACGTACCACGTCCGGTCAAACAATCGATACTCCGAAATTTAAAAAATGCTATAGTTCTCTGTTCTCGTTAAAATAAATGAAAATATATAATCCTTTTCCTATTATTCAAAAGTTACTTTGTACATTGTTTCCGTATTAACACTAGATTTACGGAACTCGTAAATTCGACGGATATTGAATTTTTGAAACATTACTTCGCGTCAGTGTAAGACGACTTTGATTCACACAATTCTGCTAGTACACATTGCGATGCTCCGTTCTTGACGCTCTAATTCCGCGATCTATATGAACGAACGTTCTTCTAGGAACACTGAAATAAAGTGTAGAATAAATATCCGTAAATCTAGTGTTAAATCAGCAATTGCTTATACGCCTTCTACAAAAGTGCGATCGGTAGCTAAAATGTCAGTACATTTAGTGTCAAATGAGAAACACATAAAAAATTACGTGTATCAAAACAAGAAACGCTTGTAAAATAAAACTGCAGCCACCTACCAGTGCGTATCACTGCGTTAAACAAGAAAAGCTCGAACTTCAGTTCCAAGAAACGTTGGCATAGCTTGACGAAGCCACTGCCACCGACGTAAACAAGAAAACGCATGCCGACTCAGCTCTTCGCTAAATCGGTTATCTCGTATCAAGCGAATCATAGAACGACAACAGAAACACAAGGGAAAGACGCCTGAGCCGCGGAGATAAAGCGTCGAAGCGTGTGCATGTGAAGAATTCAAATAGCGTCATCGTGATAACGCAGTCTTGTGCGCGAGATAGAGGAAGCCGAGCCGAGCGGCGCGGCGCGGCGTGCGAGAACCGCGGAAACATACTTAGCCAGGTAAGGAATACCTAGTACAAGTGTCAACGAACTAATCTTTGTTTGCACGGAATACTAATTCGAGGTGCACGCCGTCGGCCGAGCCACCTGCGGCTGCCCCCGCGTCTAATTCCGTCTAAATCACCGTGGAAATTGTTGTTGCGTGAACCGCGTGTAATTAGGGTGAATTGGACGCGACTGAAATGTGACAAACGTGATTCGTTCGCTTCCCATATACGCGGCTGACCTAAAAACTTCTTAACTGACCGCGACAAGTACCAAACAACTTCCTCTAATCAGTGAAATGGTAAATAATTGTAAGCAGGCTCACTGTATGGAAAGCGCGCGAAATATTGCGAAAATAACGGTGTACAGGCTGACCTGTTTTAGTCTACGAATGGAATTATCTTCGGAACTATTCATTACTCGATCTTTTCGCTGCGTATTTTCGAAACGTGAGCATTCATTAAACCGTATTAGTATTACAATTGATAATAGGAGAATAATATTTAATTCGGACTCGGAAGAAATAAGTGATATTTATATTTGTTAATTTCTATTTGAAATCTTCATCGCGAGTCTGACACGATATTGTAGGGCAATGTGTTAAATTAATATAGGAAACTCTGTACAACGATACGCTTCAATATTGCGTGGTCCGTGCTGTGAAAATTATGGTTTGATGAAGTACAAATATTTATTGAATGAATATGAAGGTGGTGATTTTTATCATTCATTTGTAGAATGTTCAAATTTGAATTAGTACATTGCAGTTAACATGCTACTAAAGTAGTTAATCGTTTAAGCAAACACTATTCAATATAGTAAACAATATTGCAATCGCTATTTCTATAATTGTGTATTTCAATGTTTCTTAAGTTAATGCATTGAGCAAAGAAAAATTGGGAATGTTTGAGTGGCTGATTAAGCTGAATATTTAACTGTTGATGATAGTAATACACAATAAGAACGATAATAAACCAAAACGAAGTTCTCTGCGTTATAAAGCTCGAGTAATAATATTGATCCCATCTTTATTAATTGTAATGAAACAGAATGTTCCCAACGCGAAGTAAAGAACGGAAAGGATTGTAAAAAAAGATAAAGTGAACATGTAATGACTGCAGGTAACAAATTGCTTTTAAAATTGTGTTCTAACAGGTAGTTTGCGTCTATGGACTGTGGAATTGTATACATTGCAAGATATATTATTTTTCTTTCATTAAAAAATTTTTATTCAGTTTAAATTTTCCGACATCGTGAATCTACTCGTAGGGGATAACGAGCTAAATTGGTAATGCATCATTCAATAATGATAAATATTAATGTGTTATAATCTATATTTTTTTCTCAAAAATTGAATTTCTAATATATTTTTAAATGTTTAAATTACTTGTGCAGAAAGTTACTTACGATTAACGTAGGTATTTTGCACGTAGCTAGTGCGAAGTAAAGATCGCGCGAATGGGTTAAATTCTGGAATTCGAAATCTGTTTTATCGATAGTTAGCACATACAGCTCTCCATTTTCTGTGTTTCCCCAAGATAAACTTTGCGTTCACCTAAAGAATTCCTATCCTATTTTCGAGGGGAAAATCAAAAGTGTAAACAATATTTTTGTATCTTCGGAATTACCTTACCTTCAGAACTAAATTCGTCAACGTATTTCTCATATTATTTTTCCCTAAATATTTCATTTTGTATTAAACATTCACGGAGAACGTAAAAATATGAAGCAATTAAATAATTTTTCTACATTCTCTACACTTTCTAATTTCTCCAAATTTTCTCCAATTTCTCTGAATTTCACAAATTTCCCTACAATTTTTCTAATTGTTCTAATTTCTGTAAATGTCTCTAGTTTCTCTGGAATTTTCAAAATTCTCTAAACTTTCTAATTCCTCTAAATTTGTCTAACTCCCCTAAATCTTTCGAAATTTCCTAAACCCCCTAAATTCTTGGAAATTTCCAAACTCCTCCAAAATCCTCGAAAGTCTCTACGTTTCCTGCACTCGCTAAATTCCGAAAATTCGTCTACGCGTTAAGACACCGTCCGGTTCGAGAACCTCCCCCGCAACAGCGAGCGGCGCGCGAAAAACGAAGAGCGTTATCGAGGCACGGCGCGTTGTTTACGGCCGCGGGCCGCGGACACCCGGTATATAAGAGCAGCCTAGTCGGCTGGCGAGGCCCAGAGTGCAGTCTGATGGGATAGGTATAACCGATTCTCTGGTCTAGTGGCGTGTAAGATCTCAACAGGAGAGAACGTGCCAAGTTTTAACAACGCGGTGTTACGATGCCGCGTTGACCGCGGCCGGAAACAGAGAAAACCGCCGCAGAACCGACCACCT